TCAACAAGTATTTCAACTTAGATCTATTGTAGTAGTGTTAACTAAATTAGGTTTTTTGGGTTTTTGTTTTTGTGGGCCTTGGCTTAGGGAGAAAGCAAGCTCATTATAAATAGAGGGAATAACCCTTATTTTTGCAATAACTCATAACTTGTATTCACAGAATTTTGCAATTGCAAAATAAATAATATTTTCCCCAATTTGTGGGTAAAAAGTTACTCTGTAGAAATCACCATTTTCTCCCATATTTTGTCAAACCCTAACTTTATTTCTTGCTTAATTTTCTTTCTTTTCATTGTTGTTGTGTATCAATAATAATCTTGTTCATCAAGTTTGATAGAAATTCTCATAAGTTTTGGTGGATTTCCAACAAAGACGACAATGTTCTTGTACCGATAGTGGATGTTGTACCATAAAATTTCCCCTCCCATTTTTAAGACAAATTGATTTAAGATACCTCCTTATGCTCATGAAGGTCTCAATTGCTCAAGACTACTCAAAGATTGATCAAATAAACCCTCATCTTAAGTATTGATCTACAACTAGGGTTTTATTTTTCCCAAGGGAAATTAGACTCCTAATGCATCAAATTGATTTCATGGTTTCTCACATGCTTCAAAGAATCCTCATGCCAAGTTTCAAACCTTGCAGCACAAGTTTGCTCAGTCAACTACTCAGATGATTAAAAATCAACTATATTGGATAAAAAGTCAATTGTGATCAACATATAGTCAAACTTCAAGATTTTTTGTCAATATCAAGATTTTGAGGTCACATCCATCATTTGATCAAGGGTTGATCATAACTCATAAAGAAAACTCAAGATTCATCAAAAGTCAAAAGTTGCTAAATTAGGGGTTTCTTTAGAAGAAGTCAATTGAACTTTGACCAAGCATAACTTTCACACACTTCATTAGAAAATTTTCAACCAAGGCCTATCTTTAAGGAAGTTCAATTATCTACAACTTTGTCTCTCTAAGCTTAAGGCAAAAAATGCTTCATTTGAGAGATATGGGCCAAAACATTACATGTCATTTTAAAACTCGACAAAAAGACACTTTTTGTCAAAGCAATTTACATCAAGATAAAGTCTTCAAATGGAAAAATTACCAACATAAAGGTTGTAAGGGACATCTCGAGGTTTCCAAAAAGTCCAAGGTCACCTTCATATGACAAACATTGGGCAAGTTATGACTTGTGCAAGTTGGGAAATTTTGAGGAAATGCATGAAATCCAATTTGAGCAAAACTTGAATTTTTGGACTAATGGGCTTATCTTTCAAGGTCCAAATGTGTTCTTAAACTTATAATGGATCTCTAAGCCCATTAATGCACCATTTTAATTTTTTATTTCATTTATTTTAATTTTATTTATTTAAATTCAAAATTAAATCAAATAAATATTAAGTGGGGATGCAAGGCTTAAAAGGCTTTTGATTCTTTTCTTTTGGAGGCCAAAGATTGCATTAGAGATAATGTGAACATATTCTTGAAACAAATCTTTAGGGTTTTGTATTATTCTAAATTATTTTCAAACAAAATAAAAGATATAATTTCATGAAGACGTCCAAGCCCATCTTTGACCTAATTTCTTCTCCTATATATACTCTTCAAATTCAGACAAGGAAAAAAAGAAAAAAAAACTGCTCAAAAACACTCTCTCAAAAATATCAACTTTTGTCAAAATTAAAGCAAACTTGCAGTCTTAGTTCCAGCCATCTTCAAGGACAAGCAACCATTCAAATCGATTCCAGGGACATTACATAGTATGTAGGGATCATTCTTGATGACCAGAAGTGCCTGAAACATGCCCTACATGCATTATCGGTTTCATATTTTTGTCCAAATTCGTATTTTATTTTCTATGCAGTTTTGATTGAAACTAACCATGCTAATGTGTTCATGAGACAAAACAATACAGGTCTGAACCCTTGCATGAGTCTCATAACGCCTGGATAACCTAGCACCATGATTGAACCGATTTATAATATTTTGTTCATATCTCATTATGCAAGATGATTTAGCCAAAACTAAGGTCACCAATGGATTCACAAGGGTCAATTTAGGGGGATATGGCCCTTCTTGTGTATTGTCATGTGTTTATTTTGCAGGTTAAAAAGAAGCTCACCGGAGAAGACAACCAGAGTTAGGGCTCCGGCGCCTCTCCGGTCCATCTATTTTTGTTGATATTATATTTATTTGTTTCCATTGTATAACCGGATGAAACAGCCACCCAGTGGCAAGAACGCGAGTGCTAAAGTTTTAGTCTCTAAGGGCGTAGGTTCGATCCCTGCCTTTTGCATATTTTTTGCTATTTTCCAACTTGTGCATGTTTCATATATTTTGTGCAACGCTTGTTTCCTAACACCAACGGGCGCTTGGCTCGGTGGCAAACGATGCAGTATGGAAGGCTAGAGGGCATGGGTTCAACACCCACCCAGACTGTTTTCCTTCTTTTTTGGTTTTTACCTTATTTCATTTATTTTTCTTTCCCTAACCCTAGTTTATTTTTAATCAACCATTAAACTAACATTTTCCTAATACTCACAAATTATGTTTAGTTTTTTTTAATTAACATTTAATTTTCTTATTTAATTAATTAACCCTTTTTTTCTTAAATATTAAAATTAATTAGAATTTAGATTTTAATTACTATTATCACTTAAATTATTTTTCTACAAAAAAATCATAAAATAACATTCTAACATTTTTCTAACATTTTTTTATTTCTTTTGCTACTTATTTTATTAGAGAAATTGTATAGGTTGCATGACTTTTTCTTGTAATAACTTAGATTTACTTTTTCACATTTTTCTATTATGTAACTGCTTACGGGGTGTAATAGTTTAAGTTTAAATTTCACGCTTTGTTTTCTCGCATTTTTTATGTAACTGTCCCAAAACCCTGTAATAGCTTAGGTCATTACTTTCCTCACCTTTAATTTTCTATATATATTCAACTGCTAGTAACTAGGCATGTATGACAAGATATAAAAATAATCGATAGATAACCCTAATACAAGATAAATAATTGAACTGAACACACCATTCACACTTTGCACTTCTAAGGTGACCTCTCTTTGTTACCTTCGGAAATAATGGCCATGTCCCTCGAATAAAGATCATAGTCCCTCGATGACCCTTCGACATTGCCTACGAAAAATGATCTAGTCCCTCCGATAAATTGCTAAAGTATCTCTATCTGTTGCCTTCAATGACCTTTCGATGATCCTACGCCTGTCCATTCATATCCAATAAATGGGTCTACCTACCAACTAATGGTATGGATAATACTATCTCTAAAGGAGAAGGAAAAGAATAAGAAAGACTTTAGTGGGTAAGAAACTCCTAATTGTCTGCTCACAACTTTTCTCACAAACAAAACATTTCTCACACTACACTTTCGAACAAATATTTTCAAAAAATACTTTGTACGCATTCTTGAGGACTGGTACAAGAATCATTACAAAGTTAGCCTTACATTGGCTTTTCGAAATATTTTGAAACAAATCACACACACAAAGCAAGTTTTTTAAAAGTGAGCTAAGCAATTAAGAGCCCTTAGATAACTACGGATGAAAAGAGTACTAACACCTTCCTTTTTCATAACTTATCCCCCGAACTCAAAATCTATCAAATGTCTTTCATGTTCTTTTCACCTTTCCTAAATATTGGATAAAAGAAAAGTCAGTGGCGACTCTTGCTATTCGCACATTTGGATAAAATCAAAAAAGTCAGTTCTCCCACCGTATTATAGTGGAGAAATAACAATATTGTATATGTCATCAGTACTAAAGGAGAGATTCCATACTTCGCAAATGTAGCGTCGAGGCGATGCCTTACTAGGCAGGAACCCTAGCGTCACCTCTATTTAAAGCTCTCACAAATATAACACTACATTACCATAAATATATATTTGATTTTAATTTTATAAAAGTTAAAACTGACTAAAAAAAGCGTAATTGTTTCAAACATATTTGATTATTCTCGAGTAAAATTAATTTTATATTTAGTGAACTAAATAAAAAAAATCATTTATATTTATAAAAATTTAAATTAAATAATAATATTTTTTTAGAAATATATTTAAACTAAAATATAAAAATCTTACTATGTCAAATTAATTTTTGCACATTGAAAATTTATTATGAGCATTCCAATTCCAAACATATGTAGTATATCTTTGTTTGTAGCATAGCATTGGAATGTGGAGTGGAGCCCATTGGTGAACCTCTGCTTAGCTGGCTCCAACCTCTTTTTATGGACCTTGTCTCCCTCACTACAAGTAAAAGCCTTTTCACTCCAAAAACTCTTCAATTCTTCTTTTTCAACTCTCTCTCAGATCTATTCAATCTCAGATCATCATCGTTTTCTTCATCTACCTGATCCAATCCATTCTTTGGTAAGATCCCTTTCCTCAATTTTCTCCTCATATACAATTTTTATGATGAATACTGCGTTTTTGGTTTTTGATTTTCAATGCAAAAATGTCAACTTTAGATTCATTTCCATTGAGCTGACCAGAAAATTTGTATAAATAAAAAGTGGGTTTTTGACGTTTCATGAAAAGAAGAAGAAAAATCATAGCTTTTTCGTTTTTTGCGGTTGTAGGTAGATGGTCGTAGTTTTTGTTGTATAGTAAAAAGAAGAGAATTTATGTTAGAGAAACCAATTTCTGTTTTTGGGTTTCATTTGTTTTTTGTTTCTAAGGAAACTGTATTAATCAGCTTGTTGTTTTTGACCTTTTTAGTTTATATTTATTTGAAGTTGAACTATGATTGATTTTTATATGTATTTGTTAATTTGTTTGTTGATGGTGTTGTAGTTTGCTGTGGATCACTATCATCATCGTCGCTGTCATCGTCGTCATTCTCGACTTTCCTTAGGAGTATAGGACTGTGTCTATATAGTCTATAGTTTTGTGAAAACTGTGAGGGGTGAAACTGTGTTTTTGTGGTATTTGATAGATGTGGAAATCCTTGATGGTTGTTTAGTGAAATGAGGGATGTTATCGGAGTTAGTGAACTTTCTGAAGGCCTGCTTTCGGCCGGGTTTGGATGGACATGCGCGCACATCGTCGGATTCTGGAGGTAAACAAGATGGACTATTATGGTACAAAGACTCTGGGCAGCACTTATGTGGTGAATTTTCGATGGCTGTAGTTCAAGCCAATAACTTGCTGGAGGATCAGAGTCAGATTGAATCGGGTAGTTTGAGCTTGAATGAGTCGGGTCCTTATGGAACCTTTGTTGGTGTCTATGATGGGCATGGAGGGCCTGAGACGTCTCGGTTTATCAACAAACACCTATTTCAACATCTCAAGAGTAAGTTGCCAACAAGATTAGAAAATTCTTCAAGCTTGTTTGTGTTAGCATAGAGTTTACTTGTTTGTTGTGCTTTATTGTATTTCCATTTGTAGCACTGGCGCCTCTGAAAAAAGACCTGTCTGCGTCGGACACCAACAAACACGATACCGACACTTGTGATTATATTCAATTTATTTACTTTTTTCAAATTATTACCGGTGTCAAAGTGTCAGTGTTGTGTCTGGTGTCCGTCTGTCTCCGTGCTTCATAGGTATTTTCTTCTACCTTCCAGAAAAAAGAAAGAAAACCAGTTATCTAGGTCATTTTTACCTATACCCTTTTGAACTAGAAAGATTAGAAAATAGCGGATTATGGCGGAAAAACCCGCAATATATATTTACTATGGCGACAGAGTTCAAAAACTGCCATGTATATCTTCCACAGCCCTGCCATGGCTGCTATCTGATAGCACTGGGTATTAGCCATTTGCAATTGCAAGGTAAGGCACTTGTGAAGCTGTTTGAAAGAGCTCATGAAAATAACTTATGATTCGTCTATAAATAGTTTTCAGCTTATTTCCATAAGCTCTCTATATGATAGCTTATGAAAACAATTTATAGTTTACATGAAAACTGTTTCATCTTATTGTATATTTTTCTATAGAAATAGCTTACACATAAGCATTTTTATGCGAAGTGCTTATGCTATAGGCACTTAAATATGTTGTTTATCCAAACAAAGGTCCAGATGACGGAAGCTTTATAGCACGTTTTGGTTTTTTCGCTAGCCAGTGAAGTTTACTATTTGATTTGTTGTTCTCCGCATGATTACGAAAATTTGAATTTAAATGTATTCTTCCGGCATTTTATACTTCAGGGTTTACTACTGAGCAACAATCAATGTCGGTGGATGTAATTCGCAAGGCATTCCAAGCAACAGAAGAGGGGTTTATGTCACTAGTTACGCAACTGTGGCCTATTTCACCGCAAATTGCTGCAGTTGGATCATGTTGTCTTGTTGGTGTTATTTGTAACGGAACCCTTTATATAGCAAATCTCGGCGATTCCAGGGCTGTTTTGGGAAGAACGGTTAAAGCAACTGGTGAAGTTTTAGCCACGCAATTATCAACAGAGCACAATGCATCCATAGAGTCTATAAGACAGGAGCTTCATGCTTTGCACCCCGATGATTCGAATATTGTTGTCTTGAAGCATAACGTATGGCGTGTGAAGGGAATTATTCAAGTAAGTAACTTTTATATAACCACACAACTATCCGTTGCAGTAAATAGCTAGCTGATCACGAGATAGTCACCGGGGTTCGTCATCATCGGCTTTAATGAATTTTAATTTGCAGATTTCTAGATGTATTGGTGATGTATATTTGAAGAAAGCCGAGTTCAATAGAGAACCATTATATCCTAAGTTCCGACTTCACGAACCGTTCAAGAGGCCAATACTGAGCTCAGAACCATCAATATTAGTGCATCAGCTGCAGCCTCAAGATCAATTTATAATATTCGCATCTGATGGGCTCTGGGAACATTTCAGCAACCAAGAAGCAGTTGATATAGTTCAAAACAATCCTCACGCTGTAAGATACTCATTTAACTTCAAATCATATATTGCTTTTTAGACAGAAAGCATAAGGATCTGTTTGGCTTAAGAAAAAGTCGTATGTTTCTATCACAAGTATCTCATGTTTGAATGGTGCTTGCGTACATAATTTGTCTAAAGAATTAGTATGCGCCCGCGCACATGATTCATAGATCATGTTATACACCCTCAGGTCACTATTATAAGCAAATATTCTATTTTCAGGTTCATGTATTTGATATAGACCTAGACCAGATACATAAATTATTCAATGAATCTGAAAAAAGAATATTTGCTTATAATAGTGAACTAATATGGAATGATGAGATGAGAGAGAATAGTTTCGCGCAAACATATTGTTTCAGAGAAGCTCTTATGTGGTATTATAATATGCACACATATTATTGTTTCAGGGGATTGCAAGGAGGATGGTGAAAACAGCGCTTAAAGCAGCAGCAAAGAAGAGAGAAATGAGATATTCAGATTTAAACAAAATAGATCGAGGAGTTCGTCGACATTTCCATGATGATATCACTGTGATAGTTGTATTTCTTGACTCAAATATGATGAGTAGGGCAAGCACTGTGAAGTTCCCTAGTATTTCTGTTAAAGGTGGCGGTGTTAGCCTCCCTCACAACTCATTAGCACCTTGTACTACTACAACAGATAATGGTAGTACTTGATTATGTTTAAATTTAATTTAATTGGGATCTATATACTAGTAGGATTTAGAGTATGAAGAAATATAATTTAAATTGCATATCTTTTCAAGGCATAGCATAAAACTTCAACCATCTTTAGCAATCTCTGTCTGAAAGAGGTGTGGTGCATTCATTATTATGAACTTCAGAAACAGCATTTTGGTCTGTTTCTGCAAAATTCTTAGAGCTGTAGTTACCATCATATTGCAGTGTGTTAACTTGTGTCATGAACGAATGACAGGTAGAAGGTAAATATAAATGGTACAACTTGGAGGAACTAGGCAAAAAACAACGGATATCTCGTTAAAAACCTTATTTGTAAAATTCGATGTCATTGGAATAAAATTTAGTGAAGGAAAAAGAGTGCATCGTGGTAAATAATTAAAACCATGACAACTTATATTCATGTCTTGTTAGCCTAAATCTATTTCTAGTAAAAGCATAAATAATATTATAAGGAATGGTGTAATAGAAAGTGAAGATGAAGTTTTCATTTATGTTGTAACAAACTTTTTCATTGGTGGAAGTTAGTTACAAAAGATGCAATTGATTTGCATTTATAATAGCAAAACAGTTGACAAAAGTCAATTTTGAAATTAGGGAGAAACTAAACTTAGCTATGCTAGCTTTACTCTTATATAGTCTACCACTAATGATTGGAAATCAAAAATAGCTTTAGATTTTTTCACTTGTTAACACATTTTACTTATAGATATGAGGCATAATGCAAGTCATATGTGAAGGCAACATAGACCATGTTGCTTGTGGAGGCATCTAAAGTGATATTTTTTGTTTCTACTTAGGGTAGTTTTCCTCAAAATATCGACATCACTAATGCACTACATGATGAGTTTGTTGGAGTGATGTTGACAATTAAGATTTCTTACAAGAATGGTGGCATTTTCTCTTAGAATTTGACTCCCAACTAGCCAACACGGTTTTCAAGAACCATAAAATTGTATCTTAGAACTTAAAAACCAAATGGAAGATTTGTTTGTTTGTTTTCTTAAGGATTCAATCGATATCATAACACTAACAAACTTGAAGTTGCATTTACTAGCAATTTAAATTTCATGACTCAGAGACAATACAATCTTTAATTGTAAGTTAGTAGTTCATTGTAATTAAATCCATCTAGGATTGAACTAACAAAGTTTTGAGTAGTGCGTAGTTAATCGAAAACCATTCATTATAGCTTGAAATTTTTTAATGATTATTCGTGAAGCTAACAATTTCGTCATATAGTATATATGATTGAACTTTGTGAAAGATTTGTATAAGAAAGAAGAAGCATCTCCCTGTTGACCTACTTCTCCTAGGTCACCGTAGAAGAGAATGAAGATAGTTCCGTGAAGTCTCACGTGTTCACTAATTATTCAAAAATCACTTAAAAAGTTCAGAGCATCAAGTTTTGAAAGAGACATATTATTGTCAAAGTGTTGAATTAGTTATCCTAGATTATCAAGATATTTGTTAAAGTAATGAAAGAGACATATCATTGTCAAATTGTTGAATCACTTGTCTTAGATTCTCAAGAGATTTCTTAAAGTAATGAAATAACTTATCACCTTTTCATTGTTATTAGATGATCAAAGTATAATCAAAATATTTTTTGTCGAAGTTCATCTGATATCTTATGAAGGAGTGATTGATAGTGCTTTTTTGACGTTCAAAGGACACAATATCCAATTGTCTATGACTGTTTCATGTGAAACAAGTTAAAGCTTAGACCGTTAAATTGGTATGATCGTTTCAATCTCCTTTTCTCTTATTATATTTACTCTAATTGTGTGTGTGCGTGTGGGTGTGTGCAGTATTTGTGTGTGCGCGCGTGCGTGCGTGTGCGTGCATGTGTGTGTATGCATGCGTGCGAGTGCGTGAGTGCGTGCGTGAGTGTGCACGTGTGAGTGTGTGGGTGTGTGTGTGCGTGCGTGTGAATGTGTGCGTGAGTGAGTGCGTGTGTGTGTGTGTGTGTGATAGTGCGTGTATGCGTGTACGTGCATGCGTGCATGTACGCTGGCGCGCGTGTGCATTGGCATGCATGCGCGTGTGCACTGGCGTGCGTGGAAAAGGGAATGCAAAAACCCTCTTCTTCTACTCCTTATCATATAGAAATTCCCAAAGGAAAGAGAACAAAAATGCAAGCAACAAAGGGTCCTTGAGTCAAGATCATCACTTCAGGTAGTACATCTAAATCAGCCAAGGTTCCTGATGCCACTGCTCCTACTCATTTCTTGATTGACAATGCTCAAAGCTGAATTATGAAGGCATTGAAATTCTGGCTGCAGATACTCAATGTCACGTTCAATGTTATAACACCGTATCTGACTTTCTATAAGACAGTAAATACAAAAGCAGTAAAGAACACAGTCAATTGTTCACCCAGTTCAGTGTGCAACAACACTTACTCTGGGGGCTACCAAGCCAGGGAGGAAATCCACTATAAGAGATATTAATTCAGGAATAAACCAACCAGTTTATCTCCTTCACTTAAGACCTACCCAATGCAACTTCAATCTAAGTACAACTTAAACCTGAGTTCCTACTCACTCCCCCTCAATCACAGCAGTGATACTTAAAGCAATTGACTAATGAATTGATGAAGACACTCTTCAAAATATACACTTGATTATGCTTCACAGCTTTTTAATCAAGCAACACAAACACTCTTGCTTCACAACTTTGAGTGATACATAAACCTAACTTGACTTTGCTTCAAAGCTTTAGTCAAGAGACACAAAAACACTCTTGCTTCAAAGCTTTGAGTGATACACAACCCTTACAATTAAAACCTATTCCAAGTCACTTATCACAATGATACTTGCTTGGATTACAATAGTTAAAACTATACAGCTTCTAAATGATCTTCTGTCAAAAAGGGGATAAATTCCAAACAGCAGCCCTGTTGAATATATAGCAGCTGCATCTTCAGTTAGGGTTTCCACAAAAAGCTAGGGTTAATTCCGTTTGACCTTAAGACTTGGTCACAAGAATTTATCAACCAGGTTAGGGTTGAGCTAGATTAACCCCAAGTCCACGAGATTTTCTATTCTGGAAAGACTGAGTCATTTTCCTGAAAAAACTCAGAATTACTCAAACTGCATAACTGTTAGTTCAGAACAGGATGTCTTAACATTTGTTATGACATCTGAATTCCTGTCTACTGGTTTTGGTAAATGTGATCTTTTTGCAAAATGCTCAGATACACACTCATAAACAGCAACACCTGTATGACAATATTTTTCTGCAAAGGTACCTAATAAATCAGTACCTAATAAACTAGAATGTTATGACATCAGTCATGACATTCACACACCTGGTTTTACCAAAAATGCATGCCAATAACTAAACAACTACAAACTCCCCCTTTGGCAGATTTTTGGCTAAAGCCCCTAAGCAATCAGAGATAGATAGCAGCAGAATAAATATGACTGCAGAAAAATAGAATGTCTATCAAGTAATTGACCACAGAATAATATCTCCCCCTCTTTAGCCACAAATGGGCCAAAGATACATGTTCTTAAAAAATATACAGTCATCCCAAAAGTATTAAAAACAGCAACTAAAATCTGAACACACTTGCAAACTCCACCAGGAACCAGCAACAACTCCACCAACCTTTAAGTACTGTCCCCTTCAGAGGAGCTAGTTTCTTCAGTATTGAGTTGATCTTCAGCTTCTGCACCCTCTTCCCTTCTGTTTCCTTCAGCTTCCTCCTTTTCTAACCTGACAATTAGGTTTTCTAGGGTCTTTTTCCTAGTCTCCAGCTCTTTGCAGGTCTCTTTTAATACAGCTATAACATCAGATGTTTTGGACTGAGTCTTCATAGATGATGTCTCAGCTGATGTTATGACAATATCAGGAGCATGAGATCCCTGAAACAGCTTGTAGTGTAACCCAAGAGCAGGAGCTCTTTTGCAAGCAGTATCTCTTGCCACCAGGATATCAGGATACTGTGCAAGGATAATTCCACACAGGAGGGAGGGAAAGGCAATAGGGCCTTTGACAGCAAAGCTACCAGCATGTTTTAGAGTTTTTTCAAAAATATACCTGCCATAGTCAAATTCAGTCTTGGTTCCCACAGCATAAATAAATCTCCCCAATCCTGTGGAGATAGTAGATTTATGGTTTGTAGGGACCCAGTTGGCTGCACCAATCTTGTGCAGGATGGCAAATTTCATGCTTAGTTTGCTGACATTCAGCTTTCCTTTCAAGGGCCAGCACTTGACTTGTCTTGCTGTGATGGTTTGACAAACTTCATTGTCAGTGACTTCTAGTTCAGGGCAATCCTCATTTGATCTTCCAAGAAATTTGTTAATTTCTGATGGAGAGAAATTAACCCTTCTTCCTATAACATAAACACATTCAAAGTCAGCTGATCTTCCATCAGCACATTCATCAGACAAGTTAACTATGAACTCCTTGACCAGATTTTCATAGCACTTAGAAAATTTTACCACAGTCTTCATCAGCCCAGCAGTTTTAATCAGGTCCATGATTTCCTTTCACTCCATGGCATCATTGTTTAGCTCCCTTTCTAAATCTATTCTCTTCAAGCAAACATACTTCCATCTGTTGGCATTGTCAGGGTGGTGAAAAGAGATGTTGTTTGTTGGGACTTCAGGAACCCTAGCCATTTTGCTGGAGGGGAGTTTCCTTCTGATAGGAATTTCTTCAGCATCAATCTCAAACTCTGATTCCTCATCAGAATCAGAAGACTCAGGTTCTTTTCTTTTCTTTGTAATTGGTTGTCTACCAGTATGCACTTGGGCTTTCACCTTCCCTTTGGACTGACCAGTTTTCACAGATTCTACCTTAGTCTTGCCTTCAGCCTTGGATTTCTTATTAGCAGGTTTCTCTTTGGTCATACATTGTGCAGCATTCTGATTGCCCTTTCTTTTCATCATTCTCCTAGCTATGCTAGGGTTTACATTGGCAATTAGATCATTGTCTGAGTATTCCTCGTCCACATCAATGACAGGTGGATCAACAGTTTTCTCTGAAGGGTTCTGAATGTTGTCATTTGGTGTCACAACATTCTCAGAGACATCTACATTTGCTTCAACATTTGGGCTTGCTGATTCTTGATTTAATGGGACAGAAATCCCCGGTACAGAGTGGTTTTCGCTTAGTATTCTTGTAACAAGCCTAGCAATTGCTTGATGTACTTGAGTTGTTCCTTCCCTATTTGGTACAGAGGAAGAAGGATGAGAAGGATTGCCGGAAGTAGTAGCTTGAGCTCTTCCTGCATG